TTTTAATGGAATACCCTGTATGTTGCAACGCCAAAATTAAGAGTCGTGACCAAGGTATTCATTTGCCAATAAACATCGGCCTTTCTTGAACCTAAAAAAATGCATTTATTTTTGGGCCAGATTTCTATTTCAATTTTTCAGGGCTAAAACTTCAAGTTCCATGCCCGATGTTTATTGGTACATCAATACCTTGTACACGACTCTTAATTTTGGCGTTGCAACATACATGGTGTTTTAATAAAAATAGTGAAGAATTTCGATGTTGAAAAACGGCATTTTTTTACTCGTCCTGTTTAAGTGTGAAAAAAATTGCAACTAACTGAGAAAAACTTTAGGGCAAGAGAAGTTGAATGGTACAAATCGCAGGTAGCTAGCACACCTGGTTTAGAAGTTATACCCATTTACAATCGGTCACTTTCTATTGGGACACCCTGTATTATAAATCCCTATGTTATTATTATATACCTAATTCTCCTTTTCAATGTTAAATATAAGCGTACGCCTCTGTAAAAGCTAACAATAATATAAATATGCTAAGTAAGCGGTACTGCACTGAAAAAGTACCATTAAATCAAGGTTTCGCCTACGCTATTGCAAGAGTCAGCAGTATTTTATTAAAAATACGGATCGCAAAGCTTCGCAGTCATTCATTTGTATTGTAGCTTAGACTAGAGCGATTTGAATCAAGATTCTTTTGTTATCGGCTTTTCGCCGCAGCAATTAGAGTCTAGTATTCTCTGTTATAACTTTTTAGTTTTTAATAAAATAAATAGTTTTAAAAAACAAGATTTACTGAACGAGAAATATAACTTAACCATGCACCGCATTTTATTCGTTTTTATTAATTGCGACACCCTGTATATTCGTTAGGTCATAACAAAGAACTCATATGTTTAGACAAGCCACATGTTTTCCAAAAGAAAAATGATTCATCATTCCAGTATATCATTCGAGTACTATTTATTTCATTTCAAAAAGATAAATGTTATAATATACACCCTTTTTTTTTCCTCTCTATCTGCGTTGTTCCATCCTTTTACTTTATTTATTTATTTTTCTGGGAGGCCTTATTTGTCGCTCGTGACACATTCAATTTAGTAGAGATATGTATGGTTTGGGGCGATAAATTTTGTCGGTGGTGTCACAGTTGTGGCTCCATTAAAAGTCTAAACCCAGGAAAAGATGTTTTTCGTTTGTTAGATATGGTATATTTATGGACTACGAATGTAAATTTTTGCAATGTTTCCTTAATATCTTTTGGGATTGAATAATTCTCGTTGACAAACAAACATTCGCCCAAAGCTAGAAATTGCTTGCGTTGTCGTCCAGCTACTACTAGGGCAAAAACTAATATAAGCCGAAAAGATATAACTTTGAATTTGTTTAGTCCCGACAAAAGTTTGCCGAGACCGACATTGTCGACAAAGATTTATTTCCTGACCCAAACAAAAAAAGGTTTATTTTGCTCCTAGTTCGACGACACTGACCTTTTCGAATACTTTATAAGAAAAAAAAACCTAAGTCCTTAACTTATCGGTTAGTTTCCGTATAAAAATACCGATAAAGGATATGAGTTTTTTAAATTTTAAGCAAAAATGTGCCCATCATATTTTCCCAAAGTTGAAAAATACACAAAGGAAACCTTAACGCACTTAGTAGGATAAACGTAGCTCCATAACATTGATGAGGGTGCAACAAATTAGCAACAAGCTGATTTCAGCGGAAATGTTTAGTAACCGACCTCCTATTTAACCTCCCAAAAGTCCCATTCAGTCCTAGGGGTGGAAGGTTGAAAAAAATGGCCGCCATCTTGGATTTTTTTGTTTTTTTCAAATATTTCAGTTTCTATTAGTTTTTTCAAGAAAACTTAACAAACCTTTTTTGTGGAGGATTTAATTCTCTATAAAAAGTGTCTGTACATTTTTTTTGGACCATGACGGATAACGGAGATATGGTTTTTTTTAGAATTTGATTTATAAATTTTTCACTTTTGTTGAAGATCCAAAAAAGTGATCCACCAAAGTAAGTAGTATATTCGCTCTGTATAAATTGCAAGTTTTTATGGGTCTCTATTGGTCATATTGATCGTGTGTGGAGTTATTTTGTTTGTGAAATTGTGATTTTTTCAACCTTGTAAAACTTGTTCTGGACTTCATTCTTGATAAGCCAACAAATCCAGTTTAATTATTGGGACTCAAATAGGAATAGAAAAAAAAGACAATTTGTATTACTTATCAGCAGCACAAAAATTTGCAATCTCATTGGTCGGCCAGTTATTCGCCAACGAATAGAATAATAGAACGATATAAAAACCCAATCTGTAATCTCATTGGTTGGCCAGTTATCCGCCAACCAATAGAATAATAGAACAATAAATTTATCTTTCAGATAGTTACCAGCAAGTTTATCTGAAGATGAATGAACCGGGCCTAAGCCAAATAAACATTCTGTATTAAATTTTATTCCTACCATAATCAATCCTGATATGGATCTACCCGTGATAAGGCCTGCTTCCAAAAGGAAGACTAAAATTAGCTTTTTGGCTAACCATGTGACATTTGTCGCAAGATTCTATGCAGAAATTGCTCTGGAGTAAGGATCTCTGAGATCCGAGTTCTGATAATGAAAGAACGCTGCCTAAGATATTTTTGTTGTCCAAGCTGTATGGACTGTTTCCAAGCACTACCGGGGTTTAGCTCAAGACTTCACGAATTCGAAGCAAAGATGGAAAAGCTCAAAACCAAAAAAAGAGTTGTGCTATCCAATGGGCTGGAAGACACCTGCAAAGCCATTCTGGATTCTAATAAAAAACTTGTTGCATTCATGTCCAAGTCCTACGCCTGGCAACTAAACATCTTGCATATCAATTTTAATGCGATAGAATAAAATTTCTAAAGAAAGTCTAAGGTTGAATAGAGAACGGAAACGATTTCCTCGGTTCCACCTCTAGCATTCCCAGCGCTTTTTGCTGGAGGTGGAACAGGGGAAATCTTTTCTAAACATTTCGAAAGGGATAAAAGTAAAGAAATGTTTGAAATATTTACTATAAAAAGCTCTGTATCTCCGTTATCCTTTAAGTTACAAAAAAACGTTATGAACACTTTTTATAGAGAATTAAATTTTCCACAAAAAGGTTTTTCGAGTTTTCTAAAAAAACTGATAGAAACTGAGATATTTGAAAAAAACAACAAAATCCAAGATGGTGGCCATTTTTTTCAACCTTCCACCCCTAGGACTGAATGGGACTTTTGGGAGGTTAAATAAGAGGTCACTTACTAAACATTCCCGCTGGAATCAGCTTGTTGCTAATTTGTTGCACCCTGACCCCCCAGATTGACAGCTAACTCTCAACATTTTCCAAGCAAAATCGATTCAAAATATAATCGATAAAACATATAAATCAAGCTATGGTTTATTTAATAAATTCTGATTAATGATTCAAGAGGATTGCTTGCAAGGATATGACCCCGGTATAAGACAAAAGCGAACCGAGGCAATTTCCCTTTTCAAAGCAAAAAAGAAAGAGGAAGACAATGAAATTGGATCTGAGATATTGGCCCTTTTGTGAACAAATGAAATGAAAACTTAATAGACCCTTTTAAATATATTTTTATTGGAAATTCTTTTGTAGTAGAATGTCCAGCGTTTGTGAATGTTGAAGGCTTTTTTATGGCAAAATAAAATATAATTGGATTCAATGACCAAGTTCAAGCAAACCTACGAAATGAACTTGAATTCGTTCCAACAAAAATTATTTATTCAAACACACTGAAATATCTCACACAAGATCTCTCGAAGCTTCCTTTATCTATTTTCTTTTCAGTGTCGCTTTCCTACTTTTCCTGAGCTCTTAAAAAAGCAAAAAAACAGAATTAGGTTGCCGAAGAAAAACACGATTCATAGAACACAAGGAAACCTCGTAAATGAGAAATTGTGTAAAGAACAGGAACGATGTGGAACAGTATAGGTATTATTATTTTTGGCGGAAATAGGGCAAGAACTTTTTTGAAATAAATTACAAGGTCTGGTAAGCACACATCTGCCAGTAAGAAATTTTAACGAAGACATTTAACAAGGCACAAACCCCTTTACGATTCACTCTCTATAGTAAAAGTTTTATTAGAGCCAAAATAACTGAGAAGATAAATTTATTTCATTCAAGTTTAATTGCCTTGAAGCTAATTTGAATTTAATAATTGTTATTTAGGAGAATAAAAAATATTGAATTTAAATATTGAAATTTGGAATAAAGAATCATTTACAATAAAGATCCAAATCCTTTTCGAACAGTTTAAAAACATCTAAAATTGCTGGTCACTTTCTTTAAAAGCTTTAATAACGCATGGGACTCCATCGTTAACAGCTTACTTAAGGAAACTTTATTTTTGGAAAACGCCGAAAGATTGCGTGATAAAACCGTACTAAATTAGATAAGACATTTTTCTCTAAATGGGGTTTGCATGATAACATCTTGTTAGCCTCTGAAAGAGTTTTGGATTGTTTATGTCAAGAAATAAGAATATTTTTGATAAACGAGGGTTTTTTTACTGGAGTCCAAGTTTAGTGATAAAAAAATTGCTTTGTCTCAAATCCTACATAAAAAAAAATATTCCGTTGGGCAATTTTCCTCAGTTTACAAACATGAAGCGAGGCACGGAATAAACCTCTTATGACACTATTTTATTAAAAAAATACATTTTTGCACTCTACTTTAATGTAAAACAAAAAAAATAATAATAAAAGCGATTTCACGGTTCGCATTTATAATAAAAGAAGAAGGGAAAACCTCGGAATCCATTATCATGGACAGAAACTGTTTCTGAATATTAAAAATGCTTTCTGCGGTAACGTCGACCATAAATATCAATTAGATTTTATATTAAAAAGTTTCGCTATTGATTTACGATTAAATTCGTAATACATCAGACAGTAATTAAAAAGTAATTATGATGTAAATTACTAATTGGATAAGGATTGATTGATTAAATAAATTTTCTTAGGAGGATTACTTTGTACCTAATACTATTGTTTTTCTTCCAGGATATGGATCGGTAGCTCCAAGAACATCATGGGGCAAATTGGTAACAATTATTTATGCTCTGGTTGGAATTCCATTAATGTTACTTTACTTGTCCACAACTGGAGACGTCTTGGCTAGAAGTTTTCGAAGATTATATGCCAAAATATGTGGAAGGTAACTATTATTTTATCATTGTTCGTCGAAATAAAATTTGCTAGTTCAAGGTATTTTGTGTTTATTCGTAGCAAAGCGACCCTTCAGAAACTTCAACAGCAACAACAGCGGTGCGGCTGTAGTAATAACGTCAGAGTGCCTGTAACGTTGTGTTTGGTAATTGTCTTGGCTTATATTTGTTCCGGAGCTATGCTATTTCATCGGCTAGAAAACTGGTCATTGTTAGACGGTAAGTACACTTACTGAATGCGCATTTGTTCTAATACTCACTTTCAATTGTATTCGATACGTGATATTGTTGTAAGGGCAATGAAAATTTTATTAGATGGTGTATACGGTTAAGGTTTAATTTAAAATAATGGAAAATGAATATTGCCTCATATAGTATTTATATCATTTAATCTTGTCTATAAAACAATAGCACCATTTCGGATATAAATTGATTTTACTGTCAACTTTACTGAGCTTCAAAATAATAAATTGCTTTGGCTTAATCAAAACCGTCTAAAGAAAACGTCCTTGTTGGGTCTTAATTTTATGATAGATTGAAATGCTTTAGCAATTGTGCTTGGGATTTCAATTTACAGAAATGGAAAATCGTTTCAATTCGTATAGACAGAATTTCATATCCGGCTCGAAGAACTATTTTCATGCTGCAAATATGATCAGCTTTAGAGCTATCAAATTATCGGTGAGATTGTAGGTATTCTATGGAACTCAATATGTCTTAGAACAGTCAAATCTCGACAAATATTCGTACAGCTGTCAGGAACGGAAAAAGGATACCTAGGTCCTAATCCTAGACGCCGTCTAGAGAGAAACCTCAATAAAGCAAAAATGTTTCTAGTTAGATGCAGAAGTCTTTTGAGAAAAGCATGGGGTCTGAGACCAAGGCCCATAGTTGTATAAAGAGCTGTAATATGGTGGACAAAGCGCAACAAGTAACGATGGTTAATAAACTGCATCACTGGTGATATGAGAAGCACATCCACTGCAGCGCTATAAGCAATGCTGGGGCTAGCTGTACTCAATGTTCACATTAAAATGGCAGCCATAGGTCTACCGGATGAGGGCTACCGAGGCATGGAAAGAAACACCAGGCAACTACATCCACATTCAAAGGTTATCGACCTGACACAAAGTGGAAATGGAAACGGATCAATTTGAAAAGCCATTCACAGTCATATGCGTCCCAAACATATTATGGCAAGAAGGAACGCATCACATAATAAGAAGAGGCCTGGTCTGGTATACAGACAGCTCCAAAACAGGCTGGCGCTAGTATATATGGAGAAAGATCAAGATCAGAACAGAGCAACACTTTGAGGCTTAACGCGGGCTGCTCTAAACGTAGTGGGGCTGTTAGTGCACGATATCTAGGCAAACCTTTAATTTCAACCTGACGGGTTGTGCTTTTGCACACGTTTAGTACATGTCCTAAGGTAACTTTTAAGAAGTGTTGCCACGGTGGCACCACTGCCTGGCGCCTGGGAGGGGTGGTTGCCTACCTCACAGGCGCAAACTCCAGAATCCATCGTAAATCGGCCCATTGCGTGAGAACCAAGTGTCGGACGATGACGGGGGTGGTCTCGTTGGATTCAGCACACTCGAAAACATGGAGAGTTGTCATTGGTTCACCACCCACTCCCCCCGCTTGCGACCTGGGATACGCAATACGCGCGAAGTAGGGGCGGGCGATGCACGTTTTAACGGGTAGGTGTGTGTTGTGATAATGTGATTTCTGGGATGTGTGCATCTGGAGTTTGCATTCTGAGGTGAATTCCTGACGTGCTTCATTTGCAGAGTCGCGTAGAGTGTCTTCGCTGCGTGAAAAGTTCCTTCCGTTTGATTTTCTGGGTTTTAGTCAAAAACTTGTCAGGTGTGTTGTTTTTATATTTACTTGCGGTGTTATGACCTATCACTATTGCGCGGACACTCTACGCGACCGTGCTTTACCCTGCATTTGCTCCGAATTAAGTTGTAACTTTTTTCTGTTCCTCGGGTTTCTCAGGCTTCCCTAATTTTACCAAAATGAATCGCTCTTTCCGATTAGTGGATTGCAATGTGTCGTTGGAGGAGCAAAAAAGTAGGAAACGGGGTAAAACCATAGACTGGTCTTTATGCATTCTGTGTCAAAACGACCAAATTGACGAAGATCTTCGCGTTCCCTCCGAAAACAAACGAGCGAGGAAAGATGAAGGGAATGCGTTACTTGGAAGGAATTTACCCGAATTTCAGCGATTAGGAAAGTTGCCTTGCAGTGTTGATGTGGAGCAACTTTATAGCAATCATGGCATAGAGACCGCTGACGCCCTTGACCAGCGCACACGACGAGTGTCCTACACGGCATAAGTTTGGGGACAGCTAATACAACCAACACAAGTGCTTCCTTCTCCTGCTGACTAGGGTTGGAAAATGGAGGGAGACAAATGGGTGCAGAGATGGACCACACTGCCTCCGAATAAAGGGGAAAATGTTTCAATAGTTGGTTGCGGATGCAAAGTAGCTTGCGTCGAAAATTGTAAGTGCCGCAAGGAGGGCGTGGAGTGTGTTGTAGGTTTGTGCAGCTGCATCTGTGTTACCTCAAAATGAGGCAAAAGAAGTGCTTTTTTTTTCTTATTTATTAAAGTATTACCAAGTTGCAGGCTTGAGAAATATATAATTTGTTCTTGTGAAGATATATGCATTTTATAAAATATGAATTATTAGAAAATATATTTTAAAAATTTTATAAAATTTGACACCAAGGATAGCTGCTGAAATTGTAATAAACAGAAAGAACTATTCAATGAGTGTTTTTGGTTGAATACTATTGCAGTACATGCAAGCACAAACCCACGTACATGCGTGCGTCCACACACTCGCACGCGCGCTCACACGCACACACACGCGCGCGCACACACACACACGCGCGCGCACACACACGCACACACTCTTACCCGTTAAAACGTGCATCGCCAGCCCCTACTTCGCGCGTATTTCGTATCCCAGGTCGCAAGCGGGGTAGTGGGGGTGAACCAATGACGACTCTCCATGTTTTCGAGTGTGCTGAATCCAACAAGACCACCCCCGTCATCGTCCGACACTTGGTTCTCACGCAATGGGCCGATTTACGATGGATTCTGGAGTTTGCGCCTGGGAGGTAGGCAACCGCCCCTCCCAGGCGCCAGGCAGTGGTGCCACCGTGGCAACACTTCCTAAAAGTTACGTTAGGACATGTACTAAACGTGTGCGAAAGCGCAACCCGTCAGGTTGAAATTAAAGGTTGGATACACTAACAGCCCCACTAAAGCTCTGTACTCACATCGATTTACTTCGAAGATAATGATGGAATGCCTACACTACCTGGAAGCTCTGTTGTAAAGGAATAACAGGATAAAGCTCCTGTGGGTTACTGGGCATTCGGAGATAGAAGGCAACGAAAATTCTGACGAACTGGCCAGAGCGAATGCAGCTTCACCCTACACAAGACTAGAACCACATTTGGGATATCGAAGCAGGTTATAAAGACGGCAGTTGAAAGGTGATCGACCCATGAATGTCGTCAGATAAAGCGGGGGCATCTGAAGTTGGGGCTCGGTTTGGTTGGACAGGAAGCTTTGTTTTGGTTTGAGATTATGTAAGATCTTCGTCATTGGGGCGGTCAGCCTGGCAGTAGATCTTGGGGGCAATCGATTGAATTCATCGCGAAACAGAACCGCTTTTCACGTTTCCCTTATGGGTTTTTCTTGTTAACTGACAATAATTATTTATTGTGTAGTTGAAATGTATAGGTTTTTTAGTTCTAGAAAAATTTACAGATCTCTTTGAAAATCCAGACAGTCCTGTTGACATTTTATTTTTTTGTGAAATTTGCCGTCATCAACATAGGTAAGAGAAAGTGAAGTTTCAAGCGAGTTGGAAATATCATTAATAAAGATATTAAAGAATAATGTAGACAAATGTCCACCTTGTGGGACACCTGAGTTGATCTCAATCTCGGACAAAACATAATCACCAGTTTTTACAGCTTGTTTTCTTCTAAAAAAATAACTTTCCCTCCACTTAAGGAAAATGGAATGGACACCAATGGATCGAAATTTAGAAAGCAGGATTCTATGATACACCCTGTCAAAATCCTTGGAGAAGTCTGTGTAGACAGCATCCATTTGTTAACGACTCTCCAAGGCTTCGAACAGGTGTTTCTCATAAGTAAGGAGATTAGTGACTGTGGACCTAGCCTTTATAAATCCATGTTGATGGGGAGAAATTAGATTTTTGAACAATGGTGAGATCTTATCAGCAATAATGAATGCACTCAAACACCTTAGAAATGGTTGATATTTTGGATATTGCCTGGTAGCTCTCCATAGTAGACCGGTCTCCTCTCTTGAAAATGGAGGTTACACTGCACTTCCAAGAATCTGGAAAAATTCCACTTATTAGTGATTTATTGTAAACTAGCTAATGACCCGCTGCGTTGCCAGCGTGAAAATACATTTTGAAATAATACACTTTTTTTCAAATTTTGTTGTTGATTTTCTATTTAATTTTTTTTTTCTATCCGATACCAGAGTCGCTTGCAGGTATGTGCCGTAGACTATGAAATCTACTTTACGCGGTTTGTCTAGTCGTTGTCTACGTATTGTTTACATCCACTTTTTTCCATGTAGACTATGTAAACTATGTAGACAACAGAAAATTTGAATTTGAGTAATTTTTTTGAAAGTTTGCATTGCATTAAATTTATATTGTATCAAATTAGACATTATCTGCAGTTTAATTAACTTTACAAAGCAAAAAACAAAACAAAGCAAAAACAGAAACATAACCTTAAAGGCCTTCCAACTGTCAAAAATTGTATACTTTACGCGTTGTCTACATAATTTACACGTTGTCTACATAGATTACATAGTTTACATTGTCTACGCGTTGTTTACACCAGACGTAGACAATATTTATTTATGCGTAGATGCCCATCCCTGGACTTGCTTGCCAGTGAGTTCAGTGACGCATTTTAAGCACTCCAGAGCTGTTCTAGAGCGCCCCGGGCTGTTTATAGGCGTTCCAGTGTATCAGAGTTTCGCGCAATCGAACTTTTTTTTTCGGGATAAAAAATAGCCTATAGCACTCCCCGCTTTAGCCGAATTTGATTGACCGGATTAGATTGATCTGGTTCAATTTAAGTGAACCACACTGTGTTCGATTGTGGCTGGATCAGTGCACCTTCATCAACAAACTTAAATTGAACCCAAATCAATCTAATCTGGGTCAATCGAATTCAGCTTATATAGAGATACGTGGTATTAAATTCAAGATCGATCCAGCCGTTCTCGAATTCAAAAAATAATAAAGTTACGTCGGTTGAATGGCAAGCCTAAATAAATGAAATGTGGCAACGTTGTTTCATGCTGTCAAAAAAAAGTTGGGTTATGTTGTTATGTAATGTGAATGAGTTTGTTTACAATTAAATTAATAATTAATTCAAAATTAATTTCTTTTTCCGAGATGCGTAACCTATCCACAAACCTTCCTTGGGATGGCCATAACAATCTACCAAAGTTTCATCGTAATCGGATAAGTGGTGTAGAAGTGCATAGCCGGATACCCAGCAAACATTGATTTTTATATATATAATAGATTTTACATAAGACAGGTGTGAAAATACGAGCTGTATTTTTTTAGGAAAATGACAGGTATTTTATCTGGCCCAGTACCAAGGTTATTTTTTTAGTTTTAAGATGTACTCAAACACCTCAACCTCCAAGATATTCAAATTTCCTAAGTCAGTGGTTAATTTATAAATAAACTCACCTGAAATAGAACCACTTTTTGTATAAACTGTGGAAAAATAGTTTTAAATAGCTCAGCAGTCTGTTCCAATTCATGAAACTAAAAACACTCGAAATGGTTTACTGGGCTACTGTGGAGTCTATAATAAGTTATTGCATTTTGGCTTGGGGGGCATCCTGTCGGTATGTGTTGGAACCGCTCATTATAACCCAGAAGTAGGTACATATTAAGAATTATACATAACAAAAACAAGATGTTTTCCTCAAATGAATATTTAGGGAAGCAGAAGTGCTACAGATCAATCAGATATACATTAAGTCTGTAGTAAGATATATTTCAAAAAATAAAACGCACATATAAATAGTAAATCATGGACTCTCGACCCGGCAAGTTAGGAATATGGCAGAAGTACCAAATGCCAGACTTACAAAATATCAGAGAAGCCTTAAATATACGGTCCCGAAAATATACAATATGTTGCCTGAAGAAATAAAAAGTTGTCCCCACAAAAAAATTAGAAAGAAATTAAAAATCTGGTTGATTGAAAACAACATCGCCTTCGTTATCTAAAACTTGTAAATCACTGAAATACTGAAATTTTGAGAGACGTTCCACAAATCCTTTTTCTGGTAGCGAAATCATATTATATTTATTTTTAAATTGGGAATCAATTTGGGGAAGGTCAACTGTCAACCAGACTAGGCGTCCTAGGCGATTTCATATGGGCCAACCAACCGGCCCGGTTATTAAATTTCGTTACAGTCATATGCGTTCCAAACATATTATGGCAGGAAGGAACGCATCACATAATAAGAAGAGGCCTGGTCTGGTCTACAAACAGCTCCAGAACAGGCTGGCGAGAGCATATATGGAGAAAGACCAAGTTCAGAACAGAGCATGTCTTTGGGGCTTAACGCCACAGATTACCAGGCAGAAACTCATGCAATCAAGCATACGCACAGGAGATTCAAGGGCTGGGTTATAACAACCAGAACATAAACATTCTCTCAGACAGTCAGGCTGCTCTCAAAGTTGATCGATTTACTTCGAAGATAACGATAAAATGCCTACACGACCTGGAAGCTCTGTCGTCAAGAAATAACAGCATAAAGCTCTTATGAGTTACTGGGCATTCGGGGATAGAAGACAACGAAAATTCTGACGAACTGGCCAGAGCGGGTGCAGCTGCATCCTACACAAGACCAGAACCCACAGTTGGGATATCGGAGCAGGTTATAAAGACGGCAATTGAAAGGTTGTCAACCCATCAATACCTCGACTTTCAGCTGTCCACACCTGGAGCTAGACACTCAAAGGGTATAATTGGTAACCCCTAAAAGATGCTAACAGCTGAGGTATACTGTCACTAATGCGTACCCAGATAAGACGTTTGGTAGGACTACTAACAGGACACTGCTATTCTGAAGCGCACATGTAGAAAATGAGAGTCTGCAATGGTTCAACAACATGTAGAATGTGGGTGGGGTGAAGAGGGGGAAACCGCCTTACACATAATATACGACTCTGAAGCACTAGCTCGTATAAGACAGCATGAGAATTGAGAAACTTGCCAGCAAGCTGCTAGATCAAAAGAACGGAACTTGCTTAAGCAAGAGTAACTCAAAAAGCCTTAAGGCTACAGTGCAAATCGGGATACGAGCACGTCTGATCCCGCCTTAAACCAACCAACAGCTGGCAGCAAAATGACCTAACTTTGAGGATGCACAGCTTATAGCTCCAAATTTTGTCTTTATATGAGCTCAAGTCATTCAGAAAGAAAACTTCCAGAAAAAATAAACATAGAAAAGACTAATTTTCTTCTCTTCATTCTCTAATTTTTTTATTTATTTTTTTTTTCCAGGAAGTTACTTTTGTTTCACCAGCTTAGGCACAATAGGCTTCGGTGATCTACTTCCAGGACAAAACGTAGAAGAAATTTCCTTGTGTGCCTGTTCAGCCTATATTTTGACGGGAATGGCTCTAGTCGCAATGTGTTTTAGTTTAGTCCAAGACGAAGTTATGGCTTTATTACGGTAAGAACCTAATGTATAACGCTAAATATCCAAAAAATAATATTAAAATAAGATATAATCCTTCCACTATTTGAAATAAAAATAATATTTCGCTTCCTCGATATAATCGAAACGAGTCGGTCTATTTTCCAAAGTTCAAGCTTTCATGAGAGACTAGGGAACCTACCTTCAGTTCATATTTGTGTCACGCAGACGAGAAGAGATCAAAACTTTATGAGTATCAGTATTTGGATTGGATGAGACCTCTTTATCCTCAGCATCAAAACTAATAAACTGACATATAAATCAAGTTTTATTGTTTTCATATCCTCTGATGGGAACGAGAAATTATGTGCTTGAAATATAAAGGTTCACTTTTTAGATTAAAGAGCTTAAGATTGGTCGATATGTAATTCAAGTGGGTTACATAGTCGATATAGTAGATAGAAAATGGATATTGCGTGAAGATATTTTTTTTTTCCTTTTAACGTAAGTGAATAAAACTGCAAACAAAAACTTTTCGCACGCGGTGAAATTGTAAAGATTGTCTGTTTCTAACTTGCTATACCAACATTAAATCAAATATATGCTTCTGCTAGGTATCTTGGTGGCTCATGTTCCAAAACTTCAGAGCATTCAAAGGACGAAGAAGCACTAACAGGCCTGCCGGATTCCTGACAAAGGCCTACGACAGAGGGCGCAGCTCCATCGAAACTTTCAGATGCCAGAAAATCTCCGCCGATTTTACATCACAATAGTTTGCCAAGAAAAAGTAATTTTCATCGAAACACACCGGGAAGAAGGTCTGCTGCTGGAATGGGTAAGTAATATTCCATATTTACTCAAACTAGTTATTTCTTGAATAAAGGCGATCATTTCCTATTGTCGTCGATTATGAGTTTTTTGATGGCTATATAAACCAATTCTGGAGCCGCAGTCCACAGTCTTAACATATATTTGGGGCTTGGGGATTATGGCCCAGTGCGGGTTGGTGCAGAATCTGCATCTTGTTAAAGTTGACCTCTAGGCCGATTCTCCTGCATTCCTGGTTGAATGCATTGATAATTGCCTGAAGATTTTCCTCTGTATTGGCCATCACGTTATCATCCGCATATTGAAGTTCAATTATCGATATCGTCGATAGTTTCGTTTTGGCTTGTAATCTGTTTAGGTTGAATAAGTCGCCATCAACTCTATACAGGATTTCCACACCTGACAAGCAGGTGACCCTCGACAAGGTGAAGTATGGACCCTATAAATAGAGAAAACAAAGTAGGTGCTGTTGGCACAGCCTTGTTGGACGCCTGTAGTTATTTGGAAAGATTCCTTGTCCATCGTTGCTTAGGACGGTTGCATTCATAATATTATCATGCAGCAGGTGGAGTATCTGGATGTACTTTTGCGGATACCCAAATTTTCAAAGACCTCCTCTGTTGACAGAATCAAATACTTTCACTAATTCTATGAAGGCCATGTATTTTGAAGATTTTGTTCACTGGATGTCTCTTGCACTACTTGTCCTCGCACTGAAAATCATGTCAGCAGTACCCCGGTCGAGTCTAAAGCCACATCGTGTCTCTGGGAGGTTTTTTTCATCAGTTAGGATTAGCCGATTTGATAATACCCTGGCCAGTATCTTTCCCGCAACGAAAGTGGAGATATTCCTCTGTAGTTTGTTTCCACATTGGGCCTTGTTTCCTTGCGCAACTATAGAGGCATCTCTAAGTTCAACAGGTATGGTTTCAGTGAATCCATGTTTTACTCATAAGGATGTGGATTTGGGCACTTAGTGTGGGGCCTCCTTGCTTAAAGAATTCAGCAAGAATGCCGTCAATACCCAGCTGACTCATTCAGGCCTATAATGTATCATTCTGTTATTTAAACAGCACCGTTGAGTTATCTGTCACTGTTTATTCTACACGTAAAAATAGAGACAGGTGTAGATTTTAAGCTATAACACAACTGGTTAAATAACGGCATCATAATAGTACATTAAAATACAAGTTTCATAAGACGTCATTTTATCGCACGAGCCCTATATTAGAAAACGAGCCGGAGGCGAGTTTTCTAAAGGGCGAGTGCGATAAAATGTCTTATGAAACGAATATTTTATACTATTTTTTCTATTTTGGTATTGTTTAATTAAAAAAAACAAATTTTTTTTAGAAATTTTATTCTCATATTTCGATTTCATATATTTAGGTTGGTAACATTACATGCCAAATATAGAAATCTTCTATTATAAAATCGCGAATGACAGTTCGATGGCCATCAGTCAGCCAGTGTCACCAACCTCCAATAAGTAAAAAAGGAGTGTCACAAAGAGCTTCTTTTCGAAACTACTTTTAGTGTCGAAAAGACTTCGATATGACACCAAAATAGAAAAAAAACCTTAGAGCACTCATATATTTTGACAAGCCACATGTCTTAGATATAGATATAGTATTAAAAAAACTTCACAGAAATAAACATTTGTTGCTACCTCTTTCACTTCATTCTCGTAGATTTATCACGCTACAATTTGGCTTTGTCAGGGGGCTTTTCTATTCTATGCTTGAGTGATTTAACTAAGTATGGCAAGCTTCTCTGGAAAACAATATCAGGCCCTTAAATTAGTCATTTTATTTGACGCCTTTAGCTTCTTGTACTAATCAGTAGTAAGCCTATTGTGACTGTCTCAAATTACAAGAACATTTACAAAGGAGAATTTCATGTTAACTTATTTTTCAAGCGAAAACTTGAAATTATGATACACACAATTGGAAGTTGTTGAACTATTCGCGCTGTATCTTTTGCATAAAGGCACAAAGATAGAATTTTTGAAGGTAGCTCAGGAGAGGCCATATTTAATAATAGTCCATGTGGATGTTATCAAGGAATCCTATCTGCAAGTTTAATATCTAATATTCATCACATCAAGGCATCAAAAGACTTTCCATTTTTTTGTGCTTTATCAAGTATTCTGTACACTGAATTATTTCTTTTTAAAATACATCCCATTTGTTTTTCCAGAATCCCGGCCAAAGTTCTAAAACACGATTATAACGAAAAATGCAAACCTGTAATATAAAAAGCCATTTATTCTCCTAACCTTAGAGCCTGTCAAGCACACACAAAAAAAAATTAAAAAAATGATAAAACCATGACAGAGCATAATAATTCTGACTTGTATTATAAAAATCTTATGTAAATTTCCCTTTCCTTATCCATCATATTCGCGGTTAAGGAGCGCCTTTTGTTTACTACCATTTTGCTAAAGCTATTCAATCACGTGCCGCAGGTAAGAAGGCAAGATAAAAATTAATTTTGAGCCAAAAAATCAAAATGCGTAGTAGCTATAGCTTTATATATTTTTTTTTTTATCAATATGTTTACCTTATTTTCATAATACGTGAGCAGTTTCAATATCATGCATGTTTATGAGGCAATATTCTATTTTAAATTTTGCTTTAGGTGCAGAGCCCCTTGTTGAATATTTCGTCCCCCGAAGCATGAGCGAGTTTGATTTGTCGATAGCAGCCTCAGATACTCCACTTCCAAGCTTCTTACCGTTTAGCGCTCAGGCTCCCAGGAAAATTATGGGAAACTCAGCGGCGAAGCAGAAAGAGAAAATGGTTACTTTCGAAGATGAAATGGCTTCGAGAATAGGTAAGAATCTTAATCATCATCGTCATAGGCAATAAGTTGATACCGAGTATGATTGTCTTTGATTCTATTCTTATTGTCGACGATTATGGACGATTGTGGACAATCCTGGGGCCGCACACTCTTCCACAGTCTTGGCACACCCAGTCTCTGGCAGCATTGTCTCTTCCACTGTTTTCTCGCTCCTTCCTGCGGTTCCTCTTTTCGGTTTCGCGTGTGCGGAGCTGTTTTTCAAAAGTTTGTGGTCCGTCGTGGACTACTCGACGTCATGAGGGCCTATTATTTACCGGCGTCTTTCAGTTGCGGGTACCTATAGATGCGGCACTTTACCATGCGAACGGGGTGACCTGTTTAGTGAAGTTGCTGAATGATGACGGTTTCATTGCTAGTTGTTTCGGCCTCCTGTAAAATACTAATACATATTCGTTCGTCGGTATTGCCATTTAATCCATAGGATCCTTCTTAGGCATCGCTGGTGGTATTTTTCTAGTCTTGTGCCTTCTATAGGTGGTTCATGTTTCGCAGCCATATGTAAGTGTTGCTATTTCAGTCTGTACAGGACTTCCACTCCTAATGGCAGGTGACCCTCGACAAGGTGAAGTATGGATGTTATCTCAAAAACTCTTGAAGACACTTTTCAAAAAAACACTAATTTATTTTAAAATACAGGTTAGTTATTAATTGTTAATTATATTGGACATGCTTGCTGTTTCTATGGGAGCATTGCGAGCGATTCTTGGCATGACATGTTCAGACAGGAAAACTTGATGAAGAAGCGTCTAGACTTTGCGATACTTTGTACGACCGTGGTACTTAGACGCGACTGGAGGTCATTGTAGCAGTGAAAACCATATAACAGCGCCCCCATTAAGTAAAAAGTCGGTGCTTTGCAGCAATTTTTTTAAAAAACTAACTGGGTTGTTGCGTAGACTAGACTGGTCATCTCTTGCTCTGAGGGTAGATTTGAATGACCGGTGTTTCTTCGTTTCGGTAAAAGCTTTCTAAGGTTGTTGCCTATTTGAAGACGTGAATGAAACTTCGGCGGTGGTGGTTCGTCTCCGTCGATAGGGCTTGGTTTGGGAGGTGCCTTTCGTCGACACTTACAACAAATGTGAATGATTACAAGGGCTGCTATTAGTACGATGATAAAGGAGGTGAACCATTGACTGTGTCTTGATACGAATGTTTCTTGGATTGGATTAGTTTATCCAGTTCATCGGAAAATTGGTTTAGTCTATGCTGTGCCACGTTTAGATTATCGATGTTGATTTTAGATAGTTTAAGAGGTTTCAACTCTGGCACATGAAGATTCACCGGCACGTGTTTGAAGTAGTCATGGGGAATTTCCACTGGATGGCTTTTATAGGTGACGTTTCTGTATTTTTCCGCTAGATGCCTATAATGAATTCTGGAGTTTCCTACAAAGACATTGCAGGTTCGTTGGAGCTTGAGCACTGTGTTCGTGTTGATTGTTTCTGTCACACTGTTTCTGCCATCACATCTGATAGTAATTGGAGGGAACGATGATAATGTTATGAGCCAGTAGTTTGCGTCTAGTTCTTGCACATTGTAGTCACTAGCGAGTCAGATTGAGGTTTGCCAAGTCTTGGGAAGTGTCCCCGTTGACTTCAGGAGTTGGTCTTCGCAAATGGCATCGCTGTCTAAAGGGTATTGTAGAAGGTCAGAACATATCCTTGTGTTATTATCAAGAGGTTTGCAGTGATCCAGGCTTTGGAGTAATATGTACAATAAAGAATCGTCATCACTCGCGATATATTTTTGAGTTATTGGTAAAATATGATGAAAACCTGTTCGATTATCCAAAATCGGGATAGGGTAGATGATAAAGAGTGTATATCTCTGGTTCGATCAGCGGTATTCTAAGAATAAAGACAATTTTACCTTCTGACTAAATCAATTATATCCAGGTATTGTGCTACATATGGAAGATATGTAGGTGAAGGAAGGTTATTTTTGGATAAAGAGCACAATATTTCCTGTGAGGAGGCGACCAAGTCTCTACGAGTTATAATTGAGGTATGTAAGATCTTTAAACGTGCAAACATTATTGCTTCTAGAATGTCATCAAGGGAATTTTCCAGAAAGACGTAGCTTTCCATTAATGATTCACAGAGGTTTAGAGTTCTGGTTTGGGCTTCGTATCTCTGATTTCTGTTATATCGATGTTGAATGTTTCTTGATCGATTTGGAGTTCCTGAATAGTAGAATTAATTTTCTTTATTACTGAGGTGGTTACAGAAATTTGGTTTTTAAGTAAACTTTCAAGTTCTCGTTCGTCTGTATTAATTTTGTCAATACATTTATTGAAGTATTCACCATCGGTAGAGTCTAAGTTTCCGGTGATTGATTCAAAGATACTTCCTATCCCGTTAATTAGTCCACGTTTGTTTCTATAGTTTGTGTCGCCAGAGATTTCATTAAGTTTCTGGTCGACTGAATCAGCAACTTGAGTTAAAAGGCTGAAATCAGTTTGAACTTCAACTTTGAGGAGAAGCGTCATCAATTATTTTGGTCAGGCTAGTGAGAATCTTTTTATTGTTCTGGATAGTTTATCTAAATGATTCTATTTGAGACTCTAAAACTACCTTCTTCGTGAGTATTCCACTGTGTTGTTAATCGGAGTTGGAAGAAATTGAGGGGTGACGCCTAGAATCAGCCTGACGAGTCTGGGAATGAATAGACTAGTCATAACTTTAGTCTATCAAAGTTAAATTTCGAAAATTGATTTGTTTTGAGGTTTCTCACTTTCGCTGAGTTTCTATAAACTTCAATTATTTCGAAAGGTCCGTTAAAAAGATTTTGAGCTTTGTCTTTTATTTGCGTTTCTTTGACATACACTTTGTCACCTGCTTTATATTCTGGAAGATTTTGTGAGACCGTCTTGTCGAACCTCACTTTCGACTTTTCTTTCTGGATATCGGTTGTGGCTCGAGCCATTCTATAATAATATTCCATTCTGTTGTTGAGGTCACGTTTTGTTTTTTTTGTATATGGCCAAAGATTAATTCGAAAGGTGTGAATCCGTGTATCTTATTTTTGGTATTATTATAACAGATAAGTGCGTACGGGAGAATGTTGAATGGGTGTTCATCTGGAAGTTCCGCTTTATGAACGCGGATCATCTCCATTAAACTTGCATGGAATCTTTCCAGCGATCCGTTGGATTGTGGGTGGCTTACGCTTGAAAATGTCAATTTTATATCGTAAAGTTGAGTAAGGCGTTGTTAATTCACCTCCACAATCACAGTGAATTCTTAAAGGTGTGCCGTAATGTTGGAAGAATACTAGTAGGGTATTAACAATTGTGGACGCCTTTTTGTCTGAGATTTGGTAAGCTTGAGTGAATTTCGTAAGTTCATCCCTAACTGTTAGGGTATAGTTACGAACTGGGAATTCAAAAAGGTCAATGTTTATCCTTTCAAATGGAGTTTTGGGAGTTTCAGTGATAACGAGAGGAGAACTATGATTTTTCCTACATATCCTACAGGCTCTGATGAATTTCTCAACATCTTTAGTTGAACCTTGCCAGGAGTATTTGTCTTTAATCCTTCTAACGGTTTCATTGATTCCACGATGTAAATTTGTTTTTCCAGTATGATATTCAGTGCCGTAACTAGGGCGTGGCGAAGGTGGCAATCTGCCACTAATCGTTAAGCGTAAAGCGCCTTTTGCGCAACACACCAAAAGTTTAAAGAGCGCTTTCTGGATTCTATACTTGATACAGCGAAATAGATATTGATTTATTGATATGAACTAAAACAACCCAGAACAAGATAGAAATCAAAATTGCGGTGAGGAAGGAAATGACGAGGCCCATCTAAAACACATTTGGATATTTAAATCTTGCAAGTAATTCAGGCAATTATAGGTCTGTTCTCACTGTAGTCTCTGACAGTTTGCAACCTGTCAGAAACAATCACTCAGCTAAGGATAACGCACACCTAACATGGGATTTTTGGGCTCTATGGATTTTGCCCATTTTTTGATATGTTGTAGAGGATTTAATTCTGAACAACCTTTAAATGGGACGAAATCTTGTAGGTATTACGGTCTTTGAGATATAAGCGTTGAAATATGAACTTTTTTGCGACTTTTTGTGTGGAGAGTATACGAGATACTGGTTTTACTGGTATTTATCAGTCAAAATAATGACAGGTTCACATATTTTACGTCACTTACAAATTAATGTCAACATAGGTTAAGGCCGGGACCGCACTAGGGTCAATGTTGGCGCCAGTGCAGTCCCGGCCTTAGCCTATGTTGACATTTGTTAGTGACGTGAAATATGTCGACCTATCAATAATTTGACTGATAAACACCAGTTTCTCGTATACTCTCCACACAAAAAGTCGCAAAAAAGTTCATCTTTCAACGCTCATATCTCAAAGACCTACA